TATAGGAGCTATAAATAGCTTCAACAGTCATAAAAGTCTGTCATTAATAAAGCACTTACTAGATCTTGGAGCTGATCCCAACAAAGAACTTTATCAGGAGTTAAATGCATTGTTGGTCGCCACTAGATTAAATAATACAGAAGTCATGTCACTCTTAGTAGAGTATGGTGCTGATGTACACAAGTTCATTGGGCCTATAGGCAAATCGGCAATACATCTTGCTGCTGCTGCTGGTTATGCTGAAGCTGTTGAGTTCTTACTCAGAAAAGGTGTGTCTCCTGACCATCGATTGCCCAGCATCAATGGTACACCATTGATGTTAGCTTCTTTTCATGAGAAAAAAGATATCATTTTACTTTTACTTAAAAATGGAGCAAATCTTGATATTCAAAATAGGAATGGCGTTAGTGCACTAATGGGAGCCTGTTATCATGGGTGTTACTCAATGGCTAAGCTACTACTTGAAAAAGGAGCCAATCCTAACTTACAAACAAGAGATGGGCATACAGCTTTAGCATCATCTTGCAGTAAAAACCAGAAAGAAATAGTCAAATTATTGCTTGACTTTAATGCCGATCCCAATATTCCACTATTTGATGGATACACACCACTCATGTTAGCCTGTCGAGATGAAAATTACAAGATAGTAAAGCTGTTACTTCAAGCAGGAGTGTCCGTTGACACACAAAGTAATGATAGTTCTGTATTTGGTAGAATAACAGCATTACATATAGCAACCATCTTAAATAATAATCAACTGGTGAGACTCTTACTTAATGCAAATGCTGATGTTAACATTCAAGATGCTAAAGGCATTACACCAATTGCTTATGCCTGTCAACAAAGAAATAAAGAAATGGTGGAACATTGTCTCAAGAATAAAGCAAACCCAAATATTTGTGATGAAAATGGAAAGTTTCCATTAAATATTGCTGTTGCAAGGAATGAGATTGAAATTACAGCAGCATTACTAAATACAGGAGCTGATCCTAACATTGGTATTGGTAACGAATCAGAAGTAACACTTTTGCACTGGGCATGTGTCCATAGTAACAACGACATAGTCCATTTACTTCTCAAAGCTAATGCTAATCCTAATGCTGTCACTACTGAAGGTCATACTCCATTGAATACTGCTGCTTCAATGGGTCATATCAGAGTCGTTGAGATGTTACTATCAGAAGGAGCTGATATTGAATTTGAAGATACTCGTGGCTGGACACCAATATTCTATGCTGCTGCAGGAGGTGAATTGGATATGATCAGCTTTTTACTGAAACATGGAGCCAAAATCAAGAAAGATAAATTTGGTGGGACCATCGAAAGTGTAGCAGCAAAAGTAGGAGGAGTTGAAATCAAAGGTCTACTCCAAGAGGCAACCAAAGCACAAACAGAAAAGAAAGACGAGGCAACAGTTAGCAAGGAAGAGAAAAGGAAAGATGGACCGAAGAAAGTAACAAGTACTACTCTTATTACACCAGTTGAA